CATATAAGGTTACAACACCAATTTATGTAAATAACAATCAATGCAACAATTCAACTTTAACCTTACCATATTCACACAAACACCGATGAAGCTCAATTTCTAAAAGACGGGGTTTTAGCCATACATACCTCAATGGAGCTTTCCTTATATCTTTATAATAAATTCCGGGACTCTTAGCACTTCAATCTATTTTATAAGAATTGCAAATTGAACCAAGAATTAGAGACATGATTGGGATTCTAGTTTATTCAAGCATATGACCAAGCACTAAGTGTGCACAGTGATTCTAGGACCCTTTTGTGAGAGATTTCTATTATTTTATACCCCAATTGCTATCTTTTTAATTCACAACCTCCCAATACTCCATTATCTATTGTGCATGCAAGATTATAAACTCTTATACCCATGAACTCACTTGCTAATCACTTGCCTTAACAGAAATTTCAAAAATATAGGTGAGGGTACAAGTTCTTACCTCTTAGGGTGAAGACCTAGCAATTTCACTTGACAATCTTCAAAGATTTGGGGCAAAGATTGAGAGGGGACTTGATGAAGATTATTCCCTCTCACTCTAGAACTCCCTCTCTCACTCTATATGCTGGGAAATAATAGAAAAATGGTCTAATTGGGTGTTTTTAATGGGATGGGGTCGGGTTTTAAAAATTAGAAAATAGGAGCCCGACTCAAATCTGCGATCGCAAGTTGACATGCGGCCCGTATAATGGACTGCAAAATGCTCCCCAAAACCTGAAGACACTGTTTGGGTATACGACAGAAATGCGGTCCTCACACCCGTTCTGCGGTCGCATAATGCACCGTAGAACTGCCCCTTACAAAAATCCAAGGGGATTATTCGACGACTATGTGGCCCGCATATCGATTATGCGATCGCATAGTTGACCTCAAATTGACCAACACACTGCTCCACTCTACGGCGACTATGCGGTCTGCATAGCTGTTATGCGATCGCATACTCGACCGCAGAATCGCACCTTTCTGGAAAACATCATTCCTTGACTTTTTAATGCATAGATCAGTCCAAAGGGTCCGAAGAATTTTAAAAATTTCAAATACGTATTCCTAACTGGGCACTACGAGCTCTCGGGTTTTGAGTAAAAGTTTTCACGGGGCCTTACATGATGGTAGCCAGATCTCAGGTCAATCTTTGAAACTACCTTGGCACCCTGAAGCTGATCGAACAAATCATCAATCCTCGGCAGCGGATACTTATTCTTGATTGTAACCTTGTTCAATTGCCGGTAATCAATACACATTCTCATTGACCCATCCTTCTTCATAACAAACAACACCGGCGCACCCCAAGGCGAAACACTGGGTCTAATGAAACCCTTCTCAAGCAAGTCTTGCAACTGCTCCTTTAACTCTTTCAACTCAGGCGCGGCCATATGATACGGCGGGATAGAAATGGGCTGAGTGCCTGGAGCCAAATCAATGCAAAAGTCAACATCCATGTCGGGTGGCATACCCGGCAGGTCTGAAGGAAATACCTTAGGAAACTCCCGAACAACCGGCACAGAATCAATGGAAGGGACCTCAGCACTAGAATCGCGAACGAAAGCCAAATAGGCCAAACAACCCTTCTCGACCATGCGCCGAGCCTTAACATAGGAGATAACACTACGGGTGGAATGACCAGAAGTCCCTCTCCACTCCAAACGAGGCAAACCCGGTAAGGCTAAGGTCACAGTCTTGGCATGATAGTCCAAGATAGCGTGGTAAGGTGATAACCAGTCCATCCCCAATATAACATCGAAATCAACCATGTCCAGAAGAAGCAAATCTACACGGGTCTCAAGATCTCCAATCACCACAATACAAGAACGATGGACTCGATCTACCATAATAGAATCACCCACCGGTGTAGACACATATACAGGGACAGTCAAGGAATCACTAGGCATGACCAAATATGGTGCAAAATAAGATGATACATACGAGTATGTAGACCCTGGATCAAATAATACTGAAGCATCTCTATCACAAACCAGAACAGTACCTGTAATAACTGCATCGGAAGCCTCAGCCTCGGGCCTGGCTGGAAGAGCATAACATCAGGGCTGGGCCCCACCACCCTGAACTACATCTCTGGGACGGTCTGCCGCTGGCTGGCCTCCACCTCTAGCGGCCTGAGCTCCAACTCTAGGACCTCTCCACCTCTAGCACCTCTACCCCCACCTCTTGCTGGCTGGGCGGGCTGTGGAACACATGGTGCCTGAACCGTGGCACGGGAACCCTGATGCTGAGAGCTACTCGGTGCTCGAGGGCAAAACCTAGAAATGTGACCAGTATCACCACAAGTGTAACAAGCCCCCGGCTGCTGAGACTGCTGACTCTGTCGACCTGAATGACCACCCCGAAAACTTTGAAGCGGCGGTTCACTGATGGGAGCTGGTGGTACACTGTAGGACTGCTAATCAGAATGCTGCATCTGAGGACCACGGCCACCTGAAGCACCGTGAGAAACCTGAAGTGCCGACTGAAAAGGCCTAGGAGGATGGCCTCTACCATACGAATCTCTGCCTCCAGACGAGGCACCACTGAATCTGCCTGAATGACGGGTCCTCTTGTCCAACCTATGACCACCCCCTATGACAGAACCATCTCCACTCTCCTGGCCACATTGGCCGCCTCCTGGAAAGATATCTCACTCCCAGTCTCTCTAGCCATCTGAAGACGAATCGGCTGAATAAGTCCATCAATGAACCTCCTCACCCTCTCTCTCTCTCGGTGGGAAGTATGATAAGAGCATGACGAGCCAACTTAATGAATCTGGTCTCGTACTAGGTAAAGGTCATGGAACCCTGCTGGAGCCGCTCAAACTGCCTCTGATAGGCCTCTCGCTGAGTGATAGGGAGAAACTTCTCCAGAAATAGCTGCATGAACTGCTCCTAAGTCAAGGGTGGCGATCCTGCTGGTCTAGCTAAGCAATAATCCCTCCACTAAGTCTTGGTGGATCCATTGGTCTCAAATATCCCCATGTTCCTGAGAACCTCATGACAGCTGTCTAGATAATCCTGGGGATCCTCAGTAGATGCACCTCTAAAAGTAGTAGTGCAGAGCTTGGTGAACCTGTCCAATCTCCACAAGGCATCGGCAGACATAACTGCTCCATCACCGGCCTGGGCTACCAGACCCGGCTGAGCTGCTCCAACTGGCTAAACTGCTAGAGTTTGAAACTGGGGAGCTACCTGCTCCGGAGTGCGAGTAGCAGGAGTCTGGGCTCCTCCTCCAGCCTGAGAGACGGCTGGTGCTACAGGAAGCAAACATGCCCGGGTGACACTCTCCATAAGGCCCACTAGTCGGACCAGAGCATCCTGAAGAACTAGGGTGGCAATAAACCCCTCTGGGACCTGAGCTGGGCCGACCGGAGCTGCTGGGTCCGGAACCCCATCATCAAAATCAACCTGAGGCTCCGTTGCTGGTGCTGCTGCTCGGGGCTGAGCTCTGCCCCTACCTCGGCCTCTAGCACGGCCTCGGCCTCTGCCCCTTGTGGGAGCTGCTACTGGGGGCTCGGGCTGCTGGTCAGCGAATGAGGAAACGCGTGTTCTCGGCATCTGCGAGAGAACAGAATAGAAATTCAATCAGCATTGAGAAACCAAACCGCACGACAGGAGAGAAAAGATGTGAGATTTTCCTAACTCTGTTGCCTCTGGGGGATAAATACAGACGTCTCCGTACCGATCCCTCCGACTCTACTAAGCTTGTGTGTGAACTGTGAGACCCATGTAACCTAGTGCTCTGATACCAACTTGTCACGATCCGGAAATCCCACCCTCGGGAGTCGTGATGGTGCCTACTAATGTGAGCTAGGCAAGCCAAACCTTTAATCTAAATACTTCATTAACCAATTATTTCTCTTTTAACAATTTTGAGGCGATAAAGTGATAACAGCGAAAATTCAAATTTAAGCGGAAGACAACAATAACATATATGGAAAACTGTATCTATTACAAATACTTAAGCCTTAACCACCCAAAACCTGGTGTTACAGTATCACAGACGGTCTAAGATTGCTACATACAAGGTCTGAAGAAATAGAAGTACACTGTTTCTGGATAAAAGGAAAACGAAACAGGAAATAAGGAAAGAGGAGGCGCTAGGGCCTGCGGATGCCTGCAGGTCTACCTTGGATCTCCGCGTGAACTGAAAATAGCCTCCAACCTACGGTCCGAATCAACAGCACTGGGATCTGCACAAGAGAGTGCAGAGTGTAGTATCAGCACAACCGACCCCATGTGCTGGTAAGTGCCTAGCCTAACCTCGGCGAAGTAGTGACGAGGCTAGAACCAGACTACCAAATAAAGACTCACGGGCATGCTAGACACCAACGTATAGATACTCGTCATCATGCCTATACGTCGTACTCAACAATTACCACATAGCAATTAGGACTCAACTCCTAATCGCTCAAGCTAAGGTTAGACCAAACACTTACCTCGATGCCACGAACGCAATTCACGTCTCAATTATAGCTTTACCCCTTGATTCCACTACCAATTCTCTCGTATCTAGTCACAAGTTACTTAGTTATATCAATAAACGCTAAATGAGTCAACTCCCATGCATGAAAATAAGTTTTCCAATGTTTACCCAAAAAGTCAAAAATCGACCCCGGGCTCGTTTGGTCCAAATCCGAAATTCGGATCAAAATCCGATTACCCATTCACCCCCGAGCCCGAATATATAATTGGTTTTGGAATCCGACCTCAATTTGAGGTCTAACTCCCCAAATTTTAATATTCTTAGGTTTTTTCCAAAATTTTCAATTCCACCATGAACCCTAGATTCTAGGATGAAATATTGTAAAAAGAAGTTAAGAAGTAAAGAAAATAAGTTAGAAATCACTTACCAATGTTTTGGAGAAGAAAGGTTATTTGGAAAATCGCCTCTTATATTTTTGGAGTTTTGAAAAATAAAAAATAACTGAAAATCCCGTTTATTTATACCCCCTCTCAGACCCCCTGTGCGGACTGCGCAAAATGGACTGCGGCCGCACAGCCCTTCCTGAGATACTGCAGCCCAGTGACCCTGTGCGGACCGCACAAAGTCGACTGCGGCCGCACAGCTCTCCGCCGCACACAGCACAAAGTCGACTGCGGACCGCACTGGCCCCTTCCGCGGTCGCACACGATTTCTCGCGGACCGCACTAGCGGGTTCAGAGATCTGAAATTTCTTTGAACCTGCAATAACTATGTTTTTAAAGCTAAGACGTCCCGGAACCTACCCGAAACTCACCTGAGCCCTCGGGGCTACTAACTCAAAAACATCATATGAACTTATCCGTGCGATCAAATCGCCAAAATAACATCATAAACATCGAATTAAACCTCAAAATCAAGGAAATATTTCAAAACTTCTTAAAACATCAAATCTTGCATTTAAGGTCCGAATCACGTCAAACGGATTCCGTTTCTCACCAAACTTCACAGAATTATCTTAAATCATATATAAGACCTGTACCGGGCGCCGGAACCAAAATACGGGCACGATACATCATGTTCTAATCAAATTTCGTTTCCAAATCTTTTAAACAGTTTCAGAAAATAATTTTCTTCAAAAATTCATTACTCGGGCTTGGGACCTCGGAATTCGATTCCGGGCATACGCCCAAGTCCCATATTTCCTACGGACCCTCAAGGACCGTCAAATCACGGGTACGGGTCCGTTTACCCAAAACGTTGACCGAAGTAAAATTAATTCATTTTATAGTCAAAACTTATCATTTTCACAGATTTTCACATTTAGGCTTTCCGGCTACGTGCCCGGACTGCGCACGCAAATCGAGGTGACGCTAAATGAGGTTTTCAAAGCCTCGGAAACACAGAATTCACTTTAAAAACAAGTGATGACCTTTTGGGTCATCACAGAAGATTACTTTACTTTTAACTTTAGTTCCTGCAAATTGAATACTTAATTTTTAAATTTGTATTAATTTGCTGAAATTGCTTCAGATTCTAGCTATGGATATTAACCGGGAAAACTATGAGATTGGCCTTCCAGTAATTGAAAAAGCTGGACTAGCTCACAAAATAGAATTCAGAGAAGGGCCTGCACTTCCTGTTCTTGACCAAATGATTGAAGACGTAAGTACCAATAATCCCATGAGCACAATATCGTTAATGTTAATTTTTGTGAAACATTTTTGGTAACAGGGCAAATACCATGGATCATATGACTTCATATTTGTGGACGCTGACAAAGACAATTATTTGAACTATCACAAGAGATTAATGGACTTGGTCAAAGTTGGTGGACTAATTGGATATGATAACACCCTATGGAATGGATCAGTGGTTGCACCACCTGATGCACCTCTTAGGAAATACGTTAGGTATTATAGGGATTTCGTATTGGAACTCAACAAGGCTTTGGCTACTGATTCAAGAATCGAAATTTGCCAGCTTCCCGTTGGCGATGGCATCACTCTTTGCCGACGCATTAGTTAATAAACGGAACTATTGTCTATTTGTTGCAACCAAGAATGAAAGGCATGCAACAGGCCTAGCTCATGGCAATGGAGGATTTATTATTTTTGGAATTCCCCTGTTCTGAATCATTCGTTATTCAACCTTTTTTTTATATTTCTCTTTTCTATTGAAGGTTGCATTATCTTTGATACCTACTGTTTATTTCATACTGTATTTTTATATAAAAAAAGAAACAATTTAAGTTCAAAGATCAGTCTTCAAAATTTTCTTCAATTCAAAATTGTAAAAGGCATGATGTACGAATAACACATGTCACAGCCTAGTTGGGAATCTGTTATGTCACACCCATGACCAAACACGTGTAAAATGCAGTTTCGAACCAAAAGAAAAGGTTTGGAAGTTTGAAAAAGTAAAAATCGTCCATCTCCAAACTAATACTACTAGACTACTAGTATTGACTAGCTACATGCATCTCTCGATGGCTACCAAACACCAAGCTGTACAAAATGCCTCGTACTCGTTTGATGTATTGTTGCAGATCTTAGGGCGATTTTGAGTGATTGGAACTTCCAAACCCAGAAAAAGCAGCAGCTTCCAAACCTAAAAGCATTGGATCAAAATAATTTCTATAGGAGACTATTGTTCTATTTTTGGGGCAATGCAATAAAATCAACCAAATTCTCAAGAGAGAATTGCAAAAATAGGATCATATCACGCTGCTATTTAACTTTTATCCAAAGTAAGTATTGCAAGAGTAAATTGGCGGGGCATAACTGGCCATAACTTTAAGCAAGTTACACCCCACCAAGCGGCATATTTTTGAAAATTATGATGCTTGGTCTTATATTTATAAGACTTTTTAAAAATGGGATTATATTTAATAACCAATCCTCAAAGTATCCTAATTTTGAAAAATATTGGATTCTAAATTTTTGGCCAGGGTGGGGAGGGGTAGTGTTAGCCCCTCGGCTTGATTGATCAAACATGGCATAGGCGTGACGAGAGATTTACATGATGGACCTCGGCACGGCTTTGTGATGACTGTGGCATCATGTTGACAAGGCTGTTTGACATGGGCACGTGTTGATGAGCATGGACTGTGGCACGACGGCATGTGGCTTAGCTGCCAAGGCATGACAAGACCATGGCATTGGCGTGGCCATGGCAAGGCAATAACAATGGGCAGCAAAAGTATAGCAAGGGCTGAAAAAACTAAGGCAAGCTAAAGTAGGGCGTGGCAAGGCAGATGGGCGCGGCAAGGCAGTTTCATGGGCGAGCTGGGCATGTGGCATTGGCAGACATGCGCGCAAGGCATGCTGCACATTAGCATGGCGCGAAGGCATGACAAGGCTGGGCTTGTTAGCGCCAAAATTTAAAGGTTGAGCCCATGTGCCACGCACATGCAAGGCAGTTGGCCAGTTTCCTATTTTTCAGCATGAGTGGCTATGTTGGGGCTTGGGCAGTTGTCTGTTTGAAATTTGACATTTGAAATTCTTTGCAGTTTGGGATGTCAATTGCTAGGTTAGGATAAGGCTGTGAGCCAAAAACGTTGCTTATATATGTATAGGATAGGCAGACTTGTCACGACAGAGTGTTGGTTGTCTTTGGCTATCTTTTTGTAAGAATTTTGTATGTATTTCTTTGTAGCACGAGTTTAATACAAAGTTGGAAAGTGATTCATATAAACCGTGTGCCTTGTCTGATTTAACGTGAGGGAAAAAGGAAGAGGGTTGAGTCATTATTGTGTGACTGTCGTGCAGTGTTTAGACGAAAAAATTGACCCTGTAACAACTGGTATCAGAGCAACGTCGGCAAGATCATGGAATTACCATGGCTAGAAATGTAGAACATCATGAAAGACTTTAGAATTTGGAGGTGCTGGTGGGAATAACTGATGACGCAGTGGATCTAATGGATATTCTGACGCAGATCCATGGCATTAACACGTAATTTCAACACGTTCGTGAGAGTGTTGATACCCAACTGGTGGAATTGTAGGCTTTCCACAAAACTGCAACGGAGCTATTGGAAAACTTACAGAAGAAGAACGAGGATCTTAAAATAGAAATTCGTATCTTTCGACGGGCTATTGCAAATGTGCTCGAAAGAGGTGAAGAACACACTAAAATTAAGATTCCAGAGCCAAAGGCATTTGATGGCGTGAGATACGCCAAAGAACTGGAAAACATTTTATGGGACTTGGAGCATTATTTCTCTACTGCTCACGTCCCGGAGAAGGACAAACTGACCATTAGCGGTGCGTTATTTCAGAAGAGATGCAGTGTTGTGGTGGAGTACAAAAAATACAGATGATGAAAGTGCTGGAAGATCCAAGGTTGATACTTGAGAGAAACTTCGTGACACGCTGAGGGATAAGTTCTTGCCTAGCAACTCATCTTGGGTTGCTAGGGATCGCTTGAAGCGGTTGAGATAGACCGGTTCTATTCGGAACAATGTGAAGGATTTTTCATCCTTCTTGTTCGACATCTAAAACATGTCGGATAAGGATAAACTGCATAATTTCATTTCCAGAATACAAGGCTGGGCACAAAACAAAATTCGTAGGCAGAAAGTTAAAGATCTGTCTAGTGCAATTGCGGCAGCAGGCGCATTGGTGGATTTTCGCTCAACAGGTCTAACTTCTGATCCTGCCTCTTCTTCTAAGTCAAGAAAAGGAGAAGAGTAAGGACTGGAAGAAGGACAATCGGAAGCAAGATGGAAATGACAAAGGCAAAGGGAAGATGGATGCTTCTTTGTAAAAAAACAAACAGGCCAACGGGTGGTAAAAAAGTTTGCTAGACATGTCAAAAACCTGGACATCACGCACGAAACTATCCAAATTAAGGAAAGATAAATGCTCCTCTTGCTGAAGAGGAGAAACATGGAAAGGGACAGGAAGTTGCTGCTTATGTGAATCTGTTGGTGCTGTTGAACACTTTGGCTTGTGTAACTATGCCAGATGATGAAGAAAATGCTGCCAAGGAAGAAGTTGCACACGTGAATGCTACGGGGGATGATTTGGGTGAAGATTATTCCACACTAATGTATGTGGATCTAAAAATCAGAAATAAGAGTGTCGTGACAATGGTTGATACCAGAGCCACGCACACCTTTGTTGCCTCCAGAATTGTTCAAGAGTATGGGTTGCAAGTGACAAAGTGTCCGACGAAGATGAAGGCTATGAATTCAAAGGCGCAACCTGGTTATGGGGTGGCGCTAGATGTCTCGATGATATTGGGCCATTGGTCTGGAAAGTTCAACATGATTGCTGTACCATTGGATGACTTCAATGTGCTGTTGGGAATTGGTTTTCTAAAGAAGAACAAAGTCGCTCCAATTCCTCATTTGGATGGACTTATATTCATGGGGGAGACAAATCCCAGCTTTGTGAAATGGTTCCATGAAGATGTTGAGGATTCGACAAGGGCGGTGCCAAAGCGTGCTCCTCCAGTAGAGCGCAAGCATTTTGAGGAGACTATTAAGAAGATTTTGGATCACCGTACGCTGGATCAGAGCAAAAAGAACAGGCGGACAGAGTTCCTGGTTCAATGGACGGGAAAGCAGGAGTATGATACAATTTGGGAGAAAAGACCATCTCTATGACAATTTCAGGATCAACTCAAGGCGTATCTGGATTCTGCCTCATCAAGGCGACGAGCTTGTCTGGTGGGGGGAGTTTGTTAGCCCCTCGTCTTGATTGATCGAACATGGCATAGGAGTGATAAGAGATTTACATGATGGACCTCGGCATCGCTTTATGATGACTATAGCATCATGTTGACAAGGCTGTCCGACATGGACTGATGTTCTAAACGTCAATACCACACAAGAGGGAGGGTGATTTGTGTAGTACCTAATTTTCGCTTATCTCAACTATAGAAGAACCTGGTTCTTCTAGGTGTTCCAACTACTACTGTTTGCGGAATAATAAATACTGAAAATAAAGAACACGGAGATTTTTACGTGGAAAACACCTGGCTCAAAGGTGAAAAAACCACGACCTACTACTCAGTAGGATTTTCCCAATCTTCCACTAAAATCACTGAGCCAAAACATCATTTAGAAAACTCGTTGTATACCTAAGGATTAACTCTAATCCCGTTGTAGCAACCAGCCTCTAACTGCTGCGACAACTTCAAGTTAACTCTAACTTGAATACTCAAAATACCTATTACAATTGCTTCTAGATAAAGCTGAAAGGTACAATATGTAAACACCTACTACAATTGAACTAGAAATAAAGAAAGACACATAAAACTATTTATGGAGCTGGTTCTTCAATCTGGTTCATAGCTTCAGGTTTGCACACTTGAATCACACACAAACTGCTTGCAAAAAGCCTTGCTATTTTGCTCTCAGTTCACGTTTAACTTCTGCGTTTTTGTGCAATACCTGTAAAAGAGAACAATAACTATCATTTAATAGGTTAGTGATCAGAGTTTGTTTAGGACTCAATTGCTGCTCTTCTATCGTAGAAGAGTTCATGATGTTCTCAAACTCTAACACTATCTTCATCCTGGATTGTGTTCTCTTCATATAAGGACACTTTCTCGCCTTATCTAATATACAACCTTTTCGATCAAATCAGGAGATATTGCTGCTTGATCGGTAGTCCTTATCTCCTTCACGTGCATCTCACATGTATAGATTGATCATGATTGTGCTTCACAAGATGGACCTGGTCCATGACTGAGTTCTTTTGTCAATCTTCAAAACTTCACCTATTCTTGGGCCAACAAATTCCCCCTTTTTGATGATGACAAACTCTGTGCTTTTTACTGATGTGGAACCTGTAAGAACTCAGCTTAACCATCAATACTAATCTTTAGAAAATTCACTTATCATCAAGGACCAGGTTAATTAGGTTATAAATATCACTTATTTCAGAATGTGTAAAGCACAATGTCTCTTCCCCCTTTTGGCATCATCGAAAAGTTGAATACAAAGTGTGAATTCCAGATTCTAATAAGTACTCATGGCCACTGGGGCAACTGCAAGTGCAATCATGGTGCAATCATCAGTAATCAAACAAACATATTTAA